TTTGTTGCTAAATCACCCAATTACCCCCATTTTCATGGAGAAAAAGGAACATTCTCTTGAAGAACAGGATTGTCCACAATGGGTCCTCAATTGACCTCCAGGCTGGATCCTTTTAACCCAATTCCATTATTTTTGGTGYATTTTTGGTGGTTCTCTCTCTAAATTATTCACTTKAAAGGCAACACCAAAAAATTGGAGATTTTTGGTGTAAATTATTCCAGATGAGACAACTTCTTCCTTGGGAAGGGTTTATTTTGGGTGGAATATGGGGTCAATCTAGATTTTGGGTGGGATTCCCACTGGATTACCACCCACCTCTGAGCTGTTCATACTTTGTTTTGGAGCGGGCTTAAGGATCCTTTGCATACCACTGAAAGAAAACCCCTCCAATTTTCCCAACTTACAGCAGAAATTATCTGTCCTCCACCTCCTGATGGACACACCGGCAGCCTGGCAGGCAGTGGCATAGTGGGCAATGATTGGACACATCCCTTCTTTCTGATCAGGGAAGAGGCAGGAGTCATGGATGCAGCTCTGGAAGTACTGGTGGGCATCAACACGACCATGACATGCTCCAAAGGGTCCATCTGCTTCCAAAATAATTTCACACCCCATCCTAGATACTTCCTGCTGCAGCTGGGAARGTGCAACAGTGCTGGAACATTCCACTGTTGACCTCTCACCACATCCTGGGACATCCGTGACCTTCCAGCTGCTCCCGAAGGCATCTGGGTCTGATGTCACACGGTTGTTGCTCATCATCATATCATCGCTAGCAGCACCATTGTAGTTCCCGCAGAGCCCACACAGGGCACTGGCAAAGCCACTGGGCACCATCGCGGTAACGTGGCTGTGCCAGTCATAGGTGACAACAAGGCCAAAATTGGTCTCTACCACCACTTCCTGCCCATCACGATAGACAACAATCTTTCTTTCATTGTGATGATATGGGAGGTTGACCAACTGCTCATCAATCTGGGGAGAAAACCATAAAAACTGATCAAATTTGAGGTCTGATGGTAAATTCCAGCTATTTTCAACACCCAGAACAACCAAACAGCATCAATTTAATTAAATTTTGGATTGAATTAAATTTTGGATTGAATTAAATTTTGGATTTAAGAGGATGAAAAGGTTCAAGTCCCAAGAGCAGACTGACCAAGCATTCATCGATTTGGGAAGAAAACTGTAACAACTGATAAAATTTGGGTCTCTCAGCAAATTCCAATTGTTTTCAATAGCTGGARTACCCAAATGATGTTGATTTATTTACATGTTGGATTTAATCATTAGTTAATGGAATGAGGTTTGGGATGAGGTGGAGAACATGGTGAAAAGATAAGGGACCATTTCCTGAACTCACCATGATTTTTCCAGGGTGTTCCCTGCTGATGCTGATGGTTTTGTTGTAGACTTTGACTGTCACCACAGCRATGGCTGACATGAGCTTGTCACCCTGGTGGCCATTCTCTACCAACACCTGGAATCCCACCAAATTTTGTGTGTCTTCACACAACCCAACAAACAGGTAGACACATGTCCCCTGGAAGATGAACCTCCTGCCATCAAAGGTCTCATAGTGGGTGGCTCCAACAGCGGTGCAAACCCCAGAAATTTTGGGATAGCAATCCTGGATCCCATCCTCCACCCGGCATTCCTCCTCAGGGCCACAACCGGAATCCCGGCACACYGCCTGAYGCTGCTCCGCATCACATACACAGCGTTGGGTGCAGGTGAGGTCACCCCARAATTCCTCCCCAAGGCCATGGAGGAGGCCCTGAAAGATGCAGCCACATTCAGAGGGTGGGACGCAGGTGTTGGCATCAAGGACAAGACCCTCATGGCACGTGCAGGTCTCCACACAKGTGTTGGCAGCAGCACAGTCGGATGACACAGCAGGGATGTTGCAGGTGGGGTGACAGGTGAGGCCACAGGTGCTGAAGGTGCTGTTGGGCGGGCAAGTGAGAGCTGGACAGGGARGAAGACAAYGATCAGGGTGGAGTGAAACATGGTGGGACAGACTTCTTGGACTATCTACACAGATATTTTGGAGTCTCCATGGATTTTCTGAAGTCTCCATGGGATTCCTGGACCATCTGCCTGGACTTT